AGCGGCGCGTTTGTTCTTAATTTCCATTGAGGTGTTCCTCCGGAGGAAAGACTTGGCTGTAAGAAGAATGTTTGTTATCACTCTTATCTCAGTGGTGCTCTTGGAGGAGTTGGCAGCCTCGTTCTCTATCACTTTGTGGGTGTGATTGCACGTGCGCTTGCGTGTGTGTATGTGTGACTTTCTTTATTATCTTTATTTTTTTTCTTGTTTTTATTTTTCATGTAATTGGCTGCTAAATTACACAGGCTTCTACTAGAGAATCTCATTTAGTTTTATGTTTTAAAATGTAGAGTACTGGGAAGAAACAAGTGAGAAAACTTTCAGTGTGAGAGAGAAGGAGCTCTTTAAACTCTCGATGGTTTGAGCTTTTTCTTTGTAACTAAACTGAATTATTTATTAGAGAAAATTTCTCTAAACCTGTACCACGTTGTGTATTTGGCTGGATTTACAAATCCTTAAATGTTAAATGTAAAACAATTCTATCCATGTATCACTATATTGCTAACTCATTATTCAATTTCTGCATTTGTTATCCATATTTCATTATTATTTTTATTATTATTATAACTTGTAGTGGTACAAATAAATAAACAAAAACAACTTAAATTACTTAAACTTAAATTATATTATTATTTGAATTTTTAGATAATAGAAAACCACGCTCACTTTTATGGTGTGTTAAATTGCATCTTAAATTATATTATTATTTGAATTTCTAGATAATAGAAAACCACACTCACTTTTATGGTGTGTTAAATTGCATTTATTTAAAATTCTTCCTGATAAAACAGCTGTACCTGTACAAAGCATACTGACTGTAGTACGTTGTATATTAGGATATCCTAAACAAATCAAACACTTGAAATTCAATTATTTTTAAAAAATAACATCTACAATCGTCAACAAACTGAAGTCAACATTAGACAGATAACTCTTCATTCAGGTCCATTTTACTAACTCACATTCCATTGAAATCAACTTTGTTGACCATCACCAATACAGACGAACCATGTCTGGGGAGTGGAGGGTTCACATGTGTCACCAGTGAGAGCATTTGGGATGAACCTAAGACTGAGCTCAGAAGAACAGAAAAATGACGAGTTCTAAGCTCTAACTGGGATATTTTCATTTTAAATCTATTCCAGATGGTGGAGTCAATAGAACAAAAAAAAATGTAACCACAGCATTGTTGGATTTTTTTTTTTTATCTCAAAAGTACAAGTCTGAGGCATCAATATACACTGTTGCTGTAAGCAAATCATCTTTAAAAAGAAGCACTTTTTTGTTTGCAGATTGAATAGCACTTCACTGTAGTTCACTTAGCTGTACTTGAATACTCTGAGTTATGTACATAACAATGTGATTAAATACAGTAATTACTCTCATAATCTTCTCAGATCAATTTTGAATTACAATGGAAGAGTTAAACTCATAGCCACAGCTCAATATTTCACTTTAATTTCTTCCCCACGTGAGATCCCTCCCCCTTCTCTCGCCCCCTCCCTTTCTCCCTGGCCACGGTTTCCCTTTCTTTACAGTTTACAGAGTTTAGTGTGAGCCAGCTGAGATGCTTGGCCCAAGGCCTTGGTGCGTGCCAGAAAAAGCCACCTGGTGGTGGAACCCCATTCCTGCAGTCAGCCTCCGTACCCGTGTGTGTCTCGTAAAATCAGTGCGACCCATGTAGGAAACAACAGAATAACCAGGGTACACGTCCTCGCTCCTCCTCACTGCAGCTGTTCTCAGGGCTGGGCTTCACAGAGATCCTCGTGACCCACGTCATCAAATCCCTGCTCCCTAGTCCAACCTTTACGCTGAGTAGAAATGAAGGTTGACAGGGTTTTTAATGGCAGCGTCGACACCATTTATTGTACAATCATATCAGTATCACCTCAGCAGGGAGACGTTCACGCTCTGTTAGGCAGGGCCGTGAACTGTTTCTTCGGGGGGGGGGAGGGGGGGGGATCAGTTTTGAATTCATTTCAGTTTATTTTGAAAAATAAGATTAAAAATAAGAGTAAAACAAAGTATTATATATGTGTACACACAAATATCTATTTATTATTTATTATTTATTATTTATTATTTATTATTTATTATTTATTATTTATTATTATTTTCAGGTCGCCTGAATGAAGTACGACCATTATGGACTGATCCTCTTCTACAGCCTCCTGATTATCAGTCAACATTGTTAGTCTGTGTAAAGACTAGATAATGATTGAACGATGAAGTCATTTGATGAATTTCGAGGATGTTCTGATAGCTCTAATTAGATTTGTCATTGGATTCAGTGCAGTCTACTCCACGGTCTGTGGACCAACCACAGGTACCAACACATTTGTGCCACCACCTGGTCATTACAGTTAAGTGCTGGAATTCTGTTCTAATGTGATAAGTCTTCAGTAGATTCTTCATAAATGTGTTTACTTTACCATAAGACAACCATCCACAGGCTGTGGTACAATATGGACTTTCTATGAGCTACAGCTCCTTAAAGTAAAGGGAAAACGACAGAGTGGTTCAAACATTGACGGTAATTTTACTTTATTATGTCATGTGTTTCTAACTGGCTGTACTGTGCATGGGCATGTAGCCAATCACATACCCTCAAAGCTGTACTCAACACCTACTCCTTTACTGTCAGCCTCTCTAAATAAACTCTTCCTCCGCTCCGTGCCAACAGCAGCCCTCCCATTACTTCAGTCTCCCAGCTTTGTCATCTTTCTTTCCTCTTTTTGACCTCGCTCTTTGCTTTTGTTTTTCCACACTGCCTCTCCTCTTGCTTCCCATACTCCTGCTATAGTAGCCACCTCTCCTGGGTCTTCTTACTGTGGTGTGGTGCTGTTGGCAGAGCAAAGGCACAGGCGGCACACAGACGGGAGCACAGATGGGCAGCAAGCTGTGCAGGGTGGCAAGGCACACCTGCTACACACACACACACACACACACACACACACACATTTATAGAACCCAACTCTGCCACCTTGCCACACAGCCTGTTTGGCTCAGTGACACAAACATAAATGCACACAACACACATTCAAACATACTGTACATACATACACGATTTTATGAAGTGTTTTAATATTAAATAAAAGTGTTTAAGTTGTAAATCTATGTATATTTATCTAGAGTTGTGAGTTATTATTAAGAGTCTGTTAATCTGCTCTCACATTGAAAACATTTTCAACAAATTAAGGATAAAAAGTCAGAATATTCAACAGCATTCTCCTAGAGGCTACATCTTCCAAAATACAGATCAATTGCACAGATATTACAGTCAGTGGTGAGGGGGATTATGGGAAATTAAGCGATTAGAGGGAAGGATTATAAAGATGAGGTGGACACCACGGTGAGTGTCACAGTCATAGGTAGGAAGACTCCGTTTGTGTGTCAGTGGATGCTGATGATAGAGTGTTTAGTGACGTGTCCTCCAGATTCTTTCCTGAGCTACAGTGCGATGAGATCATTCCAGTCCAAAGTCTCTCTGAACCCTGAAGCTCATCCCAGTCCAAAGTCTCTCTGAACCCTGAACTCTTGTGGTTAAAGCTAAAAAATACCTTTGGCTCCTTTTCATACACATAAAATTCAAAACCGTTCTCAAACTCAACACTTTGTTTTGAACACGTATTCACTCAGCTGCTCCTCTCCCACACTCACAGTCAGATGAAGCTTGTTGTCAAAGAGGATTAGATTCACACATATTAGAAGAGGTTTACCTACTCCTATCATACAGTACTATCTGAGAGTGTACTGTGTGAGGAGGAGAACCTGGGCTCAGTGTTACAGATGCAGCTTGTTGTATCTTAAAGTATTTGTCAAGTACTGAAGTATTCATACTCTCTGTATTGCACAATGATCAGCCTCTCTCAGCAGTGACAAGAAAGGATATAGCTGTGAAGGGAGGTGGTTAACAACTTCATCAACATCAGGCTTGGTTTTTTCCAGCAACTTCCATGGGCCTTCATGGATGTTTACTGTATGTGTGTGTGCTCGAGTCGCAGGGGTGCAGCTTGTGTGCTTGTAGTAAGTGCCGTCAGATAGCTGGAATGTGGCGCTACGGCCAGTGCTAAGATGGCTGCCAAGCTCTAAGATGGCTGCCAGGATTACACCCAGCCAGTGAGAGACATATAAGCGTGAGTGATTCTGCATGCGAGGACGGCGGAAAGAAGCTGTCTTTATTTCTGCTTTCATTCACTCCGTCTTCCTCGCTCTCGTCTGCCTCACTCTTCTTCTCTGTGGATAAGCAGCGCCTGATATGGCAGGGAAACACGTCTGTATTTGTTGCTGCTCAGCTTAGTCTAGCTTATTGTGGCTCCGAGGCGAGCGCCACTGGCAGCCGTCTCTGTGCTGCGTTATCACCTACAGCCCGCGGATAAACACCTCTCCAGGAGAACTTGCTAAAGAGTTGTTAGCAACAGACGAGCTAGGCCCGAGGTCTGCACCGGGCCTGGAGGTCCAGTCTGACTGACTGTTTCATACATGTGGTCACAGCACAGGCATGTGTGGTTCATGACCAGCGTTTATGCACAGACACTGAGCTGATATCTTCTTTTCACACCCTGGACAGGAATGCACCGTCTTTGGATCGACTCCTCTCAGAATTGACACTACAAAAATGTCAGAATTGTCTGTAGCGTTTCATTTTTAAGGTGCACGTTTGTGATAATGGTGAATAAAAAAGGGGAGAATTTAAAAAAGAAAAACCGAGCAAGCATTAGTTTTAACAGAGACTAAAACATGTTATAAACTATATAAAAAATAAATAAAATGTGTGTGTGTGTGTGTGTGTTAAATCCCTACCAGCAAGATGGTTTTTAATAGGATTAGGTGCTGGATATAAACAGTGGTTAGGTACTAAATAGTAAAAGCAGTCAATTATAATATTCTCTAGTTACCATGAACACACACACACAAACACACACACACACACACATTAATTATTTTTCTCTGTCTTTCTCTGTTTCCTACATTTTAGTTTTTTTCTGCTTCTCTTTCAGATTCTGGACAATCAGACAGCTCCAGCCAACAGGGGGACACAGACATCAAGCCACCCCCCAATGGTAGCTACACACACACACACATCAATGTCCAAATCTCATTCTATCACTCACGGTAACTGTAAATGAGTCTCAGTCTCACTGTCTAACTGTAATTGTTGTATTTTGCTGAACTAAAGGCACACTTTCCCATTCCACTTTGACAACACGTACACAGAAATTCAAACTGTGCCTTTACAGCCACATCAGTTTTTTGAATCACACTACTGTGCTCCATGTTCAGTGTTTTTTTAGGGATGGCTCGATCCCATCATCATGACAGGTATTAGTCAGAATTTCAAGATCGGATGAAACAACTAAACAATCCTGTCCAATTCCATACCTAAGCCTAAATGCTCATCATAACTTTGCGCAACATGCCGCAAACAGGGGCATTATCACCTCAGCAACAGCAGCCTGGGGCATGCTGGGAGAGGTAAGAAGGTATCGGATTGATATCAGTATCAGCAGATACTCCAAGTTGCAGTATCGGCGGTGCTATGCTCCCTACGCCTCAGCTGCATTTACACATACAGTCTTTTAAGTATGAAAAACAAGAGGGACGTAACACCTGCAATTAATGAACACAGCTTTGATCATTTTTTAAATATGTTTTTTAAGGATTTCATACATTTTCTCAATCCAATGATTCTTTTCAGGGCACCTGAGTTTCCAGGACTGCTTCGTCACCTCGGGGGTGTGGAATGTGACAGAGCTGGTCAGAGTGTCACAGAGTAAGTACTAGTAGATTCTGAGCATCCATCGATACAGAAAGTCTCCTCACTAGACCAACAACCTGTGCTCCATGTAGGGCTTGGCTGTTGTGTTGTTTTAAATATTGAGACACACTCTTAGTGTTCTATAGACCAATTAAATATTCAACTTATCAATATTGACCTCGTGGACCTTTTTACCACGAGGTCAATATTCAAAAGAGTCTGGTGTTAAGTCTGTTTCATTTTCACTTCCTAACAACCACGTTTTTGTCTCTTAGCTCCTGTAGCCACAGCCACGGGTCCTAACTTCTCACTGGCTGACTTGGACAGCAGCCCAAGTTACTACAACATCAACCAGGTGGCCCTGGGGCGACGTTCCCTCACCTCCCCTCCCTCCTCCAGGTACTTCATGAATGTGTCTTAGCAGCAGCTTTGGTGGGTGGAATCAGAGTGTGGCTTTTCAGAGCTGCTTTATTCACATGATTTGCTGCTGGGCTCAAGCATGACCGGTTTATTCAGTTACATTAATACATGACCATCATATGGGGATGCATATTTCTAGGACAGCTTTACATTAGCTGTGATGAATCTTTCTTCTTTTCTCTCATTAGTGTCTTTCTAAATGACTCTCTCTCCCTCTCTCTCTTTTCCCTCTGGTTTCTGCCACCTACTTTTGTTATAGGTCTGAGGTGGAATTGTATACAAGTCTTCCACGGAGGTATTTATTTACACTGAAGAGAATGCTATATACCAGACGCCTGCTTTTGAATGCTTTTTGATGTCTTCTTTAAGTTCCTGGTGTGGGTTGTGCTTAAATTCTGTGTGAACGTTATTTTTTTTTTTTCAAAGATCTGATAGACTCCCAAGGCCTTTTTGCATAACTAGTGTAAATACTTTACAAACTAAGAAGGAAGACTGTTGCTCTGCTCTGTGCTCTCACCTTCCCTTGTCATTTCAATCATCTGTACATCCTCACAGCTCCAACAAGAGGAAGTCATTAGACGACAGCGAGCTGGAGAGCCCTACAGATGATGTTTTCTACCCTGGACGTTCGCCCGCTGCCAGCTCCTCCCAGTCCAGTGCGTGGACCAATGACATGGATGCAGGTACGCTCGATTATTGAGCCCACTCCTGACACTCACGGATCATAAACCTTTTTCACACTCCTCCTGCCTGAAGTCACCTGTTGCTTCTCCACCCCCCACCTTGATCGCTCATACAGTTCGTGTAACACTGAAGTTATGTGATAGCATTTTATTTTGAAGGAAAGAAAAAAAAGCCCCATTAACAAAAACTGACAAGTTTTAATGTCATTGTCATTACAGTGTATGGTTATGTTACGTTAAAATCATTCATTAAACAAAATGGATCAAATTGTGTTTGAAATCACAGAAAAACTAAACAGATTGGTCAACCCCCGTGTGCAGCCATACTGTTATACATTACACACAAAGTAGTAGTTAGTCTTGATTCACTTATTTCCCCCGACCAACTCAGTAACAGTATGGCCTGATGTCTCAGAGAATATTTCAGAGAATACTGAGAATAACCTTCTATAACTCTTGTCATTTATTACAAAAAGGCAATAAATGAGGCTCAAACCCAAGTCATATTTAGATACTCTATAAATAATCATACATGACATGAGAGTGTGCATGTGTGAGACCATAACCATAACCCATAAAAGTCAGATTTGTTATGACATAGTTGAACTAAATCATATTTATGTGGATATAAAATGTGAAATAAGTACATGAAGCCCACAGTCACACCAGGCTGTTTTACTGTGTTTGTTCCATCATAACGTTTGACTAATCTTTGGGTTAGCAGTTATCCTTTCATCATAGTCATTCTTCTTCCTCTTACTCCCTCCCTTGCTCTCTCTCTCTCACTCTCACCGTGTTTGTCTCTCTCCCTCTGTCTGTCTCTCTCTCTCTCTCTTTTTCCCCTTTTTCTAATTGTTAACAATACCCTTCTTCACTTTCAGTGCAGCACCATTTGGCGAGTGTGCAGGAGAGGAAGATAAAACATGAAAACGATGGCATGCAGTTTCCTTACCATGGTTAGAACACCGATTACTCATATATACATACACATATATATATATTTATATTTATATTTACAGCATTCTGAAAATCTCACCCATCCCATCATGTGTGCATGTCTTTACGGGTGTGGAGGGAGAAAGCAAGAGAAAAGAGGATGAATCTGTGTGTTTTATCTGGACAACATTTGTATCACAGTAGATTGTTCACTGCAGACCTGAAGAGAAACGGAGGTGTTTCATCCTCTGTACGGCCATTCAATTCAACCCTCAACTCACTGATTAGGATTCCTGGTGTCTGTATAGTCTTTTGCTACAGCCCCGCCTCTCTGTTTTCCTTTTGCATAATTGAAAAATGTACAGTGGGCAGGGCCTTGGGGAAGAAGAGGTTTGCCAAGTGAATGTTGTAAACTCAGTGTTGCATTCCTGTTCTATGTAGCTGTAAATGTTATTAGGAGGATGGTCCTCATGCCTCAGTGCTCCTGAACCTCATCTCCGAGTGTATATTACACACACACACACACACACACATACATACACCTTCTATGTGCTATCGGTGTAACACTCTTTATTTTATGAAGTGCAGTACTTAACCTTGAAGACTTCCAAATGAATTTGGCAAGTAGAAGTGTGGAATAGAACTCTACGTCTGTCTGCTCTACCGTCCTAATTCATTCACTAAAACAAGCTTTTGATAGTATGGGTGTTTATTATTTTAGCTTTAGCAGCTAGCATTGAAGAAATTCCTCACTTTAAAAATCCACACCCAGGTCCAATGACAAGTCTTTTAGTGATTAGAAAGGAGAGGAACAGGTGTACGGTACCGAGTAGACATGGCTCGGTACTTTTTCTTGTTCGATACTTCGATACCACAACTTGCAGTATTTGCTGATATTCAATGTTTCCCATTAATTGCTGTGACAAAAACAGAAAATACATGGCTTTATCTTACACACACACACACACACACACACGGACAGATATATACATTCACAAAAAATCACACATGCAATGTTACATGGACAGATATGTACATTCACTTACAAAAAATCACACATGCAATGTTACATTTAAATACGTTAGTTTTCTTCACCAAATCACACGCCCACGTGTACACACATGGGTGCAGCTACAGTGGAGATCCAGATGGTGTTTCCATGTGTGTGTAGCCTTGGAATACAGAAGGGTGCTGGAGACATCTGCTCAACATAGTCAGGGAAATGGGTGGAGGAGGTTAGAGAAGGCAAACCAAACAGCCATGATTTCATACTAGTTGTAATGATTATAACACAATTCCCATGACACTTGAGGGGTGGAATTGTGGGCGCCTGGTTTGGTGTGAATTGAGGTTAATGTTTGTGTTGTGAGGGACACAGTGGTCATCAAATCTTTGGAGACATGAGTGTTCTGATCAAATTCATTTGTTTAAAGCACAATCTCTAGTGTGTTTCTAGTGTGTGTGTGTGTGTGTGTGCTTCAAATGCGCATCTGGTGGCAAGCCTATTAGCACAAAGAGACAGAAGGGTCATCATGGGAGTGCTTGATTCGTTGCCAGTAGAATACGATTTGCCAATAGAGGAAAAGGTGCAGCACATCGACATACCTCCTCTCCTCTCACTCTTTGTCCTGCTCTTCCTCTCTCTATGTCTTTCCTAAGAGGAGTTGACCGTAGATATTACATTCCCAGTTACTGACGGGCAGTCTATTCAGAAAACAGAAATCGTATTCCACATTTGAGCACGTGTAATCAGATCTGCAAATAATTTCAACATTCTGTTCTGCAACACAAAAATATCTGTTATCACCCTCCTCATCCTCAGTACCCCCTGTAGTTTCTTCTCCAGGTTTAAATGTCAGCTGACAGACACTGTCTCCTCTTGGTCACGGCACTAAAACAGTTTTTTCCACATTCAGTGTTCTAGAAGCTGTTGCTAACTCCTAGCGTCAGAAATAAGATGTATTAAAGGTTTTATTAAAGTATGAAATCGGTCTGACAGTACTGTACGCCCCCAGACTTCCTGTATGGTTAGGGAGAGTAGATGAGAATTAAACAGTACAGTATTTATCTAAAAAAAGGTTCACAATTATCCACACCCACCTGCTTAAGACTTAACTCTTTCACACCAAAATTGAAGGTTTAACACGCCCCCACACTCCCATCCACGTTCACACGTCTCCAGCTGGAGAAGCGAGGAGCAGTTGTATTTGGTGTCTTCTTTGATACGAAGGGGCCGCAGAAATACACTCCAAAATAACAGTCGATATTCAAACACCCCATTATTCCCTCGCTGAGAAAAATTAGGAGAATAAAGGAAATCTGTGTGGTTTTAAGTTGAGCAGAGATCGATTGAACGTGTTATTTTGCTTTTAGTTTGGTGAAAATGAACGTTTGTCTGACGGTGAGATACAACTACGCCGTAACGTTGAATAATGTCTCTGTTTTTATAAGTGTTGTCAGAGCAGTGGGTTAAACCCACAGCACTGCTGAGGTTTCCACAGGTTCTGCTTTGCCCTCCTGCCTTCTTGCATATTTTCATATCTCCACTTTCCCCTCTCTCTCTCCCTCTCTCTCTCTCTCTCTCTCTCTCTCTCTCTCCCTGTCTCTCTCTGTCACTCGTTTTCCTCTCCTTCTCACTCTCTCTATCCGTCCCTCTGTGTACACCCTCTGTCCGTCTGCTTGTCTTTCACACTCAACAGCTACCGTGTTCATACTGCCATACTGTACAGTGTGCTATTTTTGAATAGTGCAGTCAGACTGGGATCTGTGCTGAGGCCGCTCCACCACTTGAACGTGGCTGTACAGCGGCAGTGCTCACATACGGAGAAAGACTGGAGTTGGCACCTGAAACAGAGAGGGAAAAAATGGAAGAACGAGAAATGCAATTGGAAGTAATGCAGTTAAAGACCAGACATCCACTTTAATGTAAACTGAAACTTGGTAACCACAGTGAAGCCCTCTGAATACAGTCCTGGTACTCACTGGTGGGACCTTTTTTTGTGTCATGGTTAACCAGTGAAAAGAAAATGACTTTAATTCCAAATCATAATTGTTTAATTCCCTTTTGGTAAAATCCATCCAACTATTTCTCCACTGCAGTCAGTAAAATTAGCAACATTTCATTGATTAAAACCTCCTCTCTTCTCCTCCCTCTTCTCCCACATTTTTGTTGATCCCATTTTTGTTTTTATCAGGACTGTCCTCGCCTGGTTCACTTAAGAAGCCTGGGAAGTTTGATTTCAACGCCCTGACTTCCCAGACGAGGTCCCCCCGCATGGCGTTTACACATCACCCGCTGCCAGTGCTGGCAGGAGTGAGACCAGGTGAGAACTCAGCCGTTAACTCGACAATCCAAACTCCCCTTTAAATTCTTAAAAGAGAGAGAAGGAAGATCTTGTCAAACTTGATTTAACAAAATAAAAACACCTAGGTCTCTATTGAGATCAATTCTGTCCTCCAGCTGTGTGCAGGAAAATTGGAAATTCTAGAATTTTTTTTTTTAGGTTGAAAAGCAAAACTTTGGATCCTGAAGTCTCAGTTAATCTGTCTATTCTAATTACTGTCATTAGAGCTTGGCATAAATCTCTCTCTCTCTCTCTCTCTCTCTCTCTCTCTCTCTCTCTCTGAGCATTCTCTCCATTCATTCATATTGTTTGTTGCTGTTTGTCATATTGTCATTGCATGATGACCTGTCATCATTTACTTTTGTTTGTTGCTGTTTGTCATATTGCATGATGACCTGTCATCATTTACTGTTTCTGCAGTTGAGGAAGTCGTACTGTAGTAGCAAAGAGTGGAAACTACTGCTGAATGTGTGTGAGATCCCAGGCAGGATTGCATTATTGCTTTGTTACCCTAATGGGCGTAGCCTCATTGTCTCAGGACTATTATTAAAAATATTGTTACTTCACACTGTCTTCTAATGGTTAAAGTTCTCCCTGAAAAGCAAAAGGAAATATGTACACATGTGTATTTTATGTGAAAATCTACTGGTTCAAACTACAACAAGTGCAGTTTCCAGATTCCAGATCTTTTCTGTAGTTTAAATGTGGGGGAAAGGAAGAAAACAGAAAACAGTACTGATGGCCTGGTCGGTGACTCTGACATATCATTAGACTAGAAATACAAAAAAACGTTACCTTTAAGGTCTGCACCAAATGTTATCATCTGTTTGTAAATACAGTACTTTAGTGTTGTAATGTAGTAATCTAGTAGTATTACACGTGTCTGTGCTCCAACGTTTTGAAGGCAGGTCATAATTACCTAAAAACAAACAAATCGTTTCAAATATGAAGTCTTTGCTGCTTTGTCCTTTTAGGTCACGAATAACTGTTGAAACAGTTACCAAAATTCAAAAAGACAGGACAGGATGCAGTGCTATTTGTCTTCAACAGTCCAATAGGAACTCAGACAGGTTTCCTCAAACTCTAGTCCATTCCCAATGACTCTCTTCTTGAGGAATAGCATCATTTAAAAGAGGAATAACAATGTTGATGTTCATAAAAATGTATTTGTTTGTCTGGCAAATGGATGGTTTGGTTCAGTGCCAAACCATGTCTGTCATCTCAACTTCATTTGGACTCCATTGCCCTCCTTGTTGACATGAGAGTTTGGGTGCATCTACACATGCACGCATGTGTGAACCGACACTCTTGTGTAGGTCTTTGTGCTGAAATGGCTGTAATCCAAGTCCACTGTCCTTCTGAGGCCTTGATTCTACAAAGAGACTGCAGGATGACGGGAGGATGAGTTGAGCTACAGGCAGATGAAAAGAATGGAAGGGGACACAGAAAAGGGAAGACACAGTTAGCAGTCATTCATGAAGGATTTGATTTTCTTCAAATGCTAGTTAGTAGTTGAACAGTGGTAGTTAGTGTTAGTGTGAGGACTGGGTTGTTAATGGTCTGGTTTTGGCTTTGGACTGAGGTGGAGAACAGCCAAGCTGACTGATGTCTGTAGAGAGTCCACCATGGTGCCAGCAACACACACACACACACACACACACACATACATCATATATAAACAAAGACACATTTTAGCCGACATTGCTTCTCACATGCACTCAGAAGATGAAAACCTCAGAATCCAATACAAGAGATTGTAGATGACAGGTACAATCACAGATGCTAAGGCTGCTAGCATCCTGTCTTTTATAGATGTCTTTGTTTGCTTGTCTTTGTATCAGTGTTGTCTGTGCTAGTGACAGGAGTATTGATTTTGTGATATTGATATATCAATACTCACACAAGCATCGGTTGTGTATCAATTACTCTCATAAAGTATCAATACTTATTAATAAATACAAAATGTGTCACTTCCACATGTTCATCTACATACAGGTTTTTGTGCTGCAGCCCTAAGTGTATTTTAATGAGGTGTGGAGTCCAGTGTCCAGAAACAGCTTCAGCTGTCAGACAACCAGAGAAGAATGTCACAGCCACGGCTCTGTAATGATAACAACAGGTCTTAGAAACAACCTGATCTTTGGTGCCAGCTGTGTTGGTGTTTAGTTGAAGCAGACATGACATCACATCACAACATCTCACTGTGCCAAGGCTTCTGTTCCTCAGCACTGCATGTGTTCTGTGCAGGGATTAAGAAAGAGTGAACTGAGAAAATCGGAGACTAAAATGACGTTATGCACTTCTCTTCTTACGCCTCCAATCTTTGTTGTCTTTTTCTTCTTTCCTCCTCCTCCCCCTGTTTCCTCACCAGGGAGCCCCCGTGCCTCAGCCTCAGCCTTGCACTTCCCATCCTCCTCAATCATCCAGCAATCCAGCCCATACTTCACTCACCCCACCATACGCTACCATCACCAGGATCCTCTTAAGGAGTTTGTGCAGTTTGTGTGTACCACTGATGGAACAGGACAGCCCAGCACACAGGTAAGTTTAACAAAGGATTACGTTAGAAGACAAATAAGCCACCATGAACATTTTTGGGAAAATGGTTTATTTGGTGAGATGTTAGGGATTAATGATGACTTAAGACTCAAAACACTGTAAACATAAACATTCCTGAAATACTACATAGTTATTTGCCAAGGTTTTTGGCATTTTTGTGAAAAATGTAAAATAGGAAGAAAATGAGAGGGAATCCACAAATATCCAAATTTGTTTATTGTTGTCAGTGATACAAAATAAATCCTACTGGCTGTGAACAAACAGCAGCCACAATTCTTAAAGGTATATTGCACAAATAGGTTTTGTAGAAACAGATAAAAAAGCAGGCTCAAGATAAAGATTTAAAGGTTTGTTTCATGTCAAATAAATCACTGTAAGATGTGGTTGGACGATGTGGACTGAAAGTCATTTATCCATATTTTTTAGCTGAATGGCACTCGATATAAATATTGATATTTTTCTGTGACATCATTGGAGATTCCCCCAAAGCACAATGGCATATTGGATTCATTTTTTCCGCAGGCAAACACATGCAAAACGTATATATTTATTAATATACTGTACAAAAGTCAGCATGTGTAGTACACATGTAATCAAGTATATTAGCGATATAAAGAGAGAGTCGATGAGGGTGGAGGCAGAGCCAAAAGGCGGTGTGTGTGTGTGAACTTGTGCCCCGTGTACAGACCAACACAAAGGGAGAAAGTGCAGAACGTATAAACAGAAATACTATCAGTGTCTACTGGGGAAGATGTCCCAGCTGTTAGGCAAGTGCACTAACCACTTTCCACCGTATGGTCCTAAATATGTAGAGATAGAGGAAATTGTTCACGTCCTTCTCCAGCCACAGCCATTTAAATACATGCTCTAACATCTCCCTCAACGCTGCATATACCCACGGACTTGTTGACTGGATGCATACACAGGCTGGACAGGACACAGGCTGGACAGGACACAGGCTGGACAGGACACAGGCTGGACAGACAGGACACAGGCTGCTGGACAGGACACAGGCTGTGTACAGCTAGGAACCTCAGAAATCAGCTGTCATTTACTGATCATGTTGTCTCTGTCGCCCAGTTATGTCGCTTTACACTTTTCAATATCAGAAAGATCAGACCATATCTAACCCAACAGACCACCCAACTCCTGGTACAGACCACGGTCGTCTCCCGACTTGACTACTCGCTGTCCTTCTTGCAGGCCTTCCAGCCTGTGCTACAAAAGTGCTACAGATAGTCCAGAACACAGCGGCGCGTCTGGTCTTCAATCAGTCAGTTTGTGTGAGAAGTTTGGGAGATTGAGGAGGCCAGTCACCGAATGAATATAATGGAGAAAACACGGCAGTATTTAAGACTGAATATCTGTCAGGATAATTGAGAAAAAGTCTGATATCTGGCAAAAGCTGGAAGACTTTTATTTCTTCAGCATCATATTGTTTACCCTTGATTCTGACCGTACCATTATATTGTAGCAGAAATCCAGCTCTAGTAAAGTCAGTCAAATCACCTGATGTTCTGTCGATTGGTATCTTATATCTGAACTATAGAATATTCATACATGGATTTCAGCACCTATTCACACGTCTTGATTTTCTTGACCTTAACTATGGGGTCACGGCAATAAGGCCGTTGACCTTTACTGTAAGCCCCGCCTTTGAAACATTTCTATTGATAACCTTTATAATTTGTTCTTTTTCATTGATCCTCTCCTTGATTCCCGTCACACTGGCCGGGCTGTTTGTTCACTCTTCTGTTCAGTGAGCTTCTGTCTTAGCGTTCAAACCAGGTCCTTAACCCTACACTGGCACTAACCGTGTTCATATGGGTGTGCATGTCCGGCTCCCTCACGTGCATCGTATTTCCTCGGGTGTATCCTGCTCACCCTGTTTGTATGGTCCGTCTGCAGCCTAATGGAGGTGGCCAGAGCAAAATGCCGGGCTCCTTCCTGCTGCCCCCACCACCAGCAGTAGCACGCCCCGTGCCGCTCCCAATGCCCGACTCTAAAAGCATCAGCACACCCACTGACGGTGGAATCAGCTCACCTGCATCTCCGTGTAAGTCACCCTCCACAAACCCCATTGCTGCCCCAGTCTTCCTACAAAGACCAGCCCGGTGTTTACATCTGTAGCTTAATTAGCTTTTAGTTAGCATCAGTTCCTAGCCAAATGTAGTCAATGTAGAGGCCTCTGCGTTTTGTGTAGCGCTGCTGCACTGAATCAGCTGGTGGCATCATCACAGATGTTGGTTTTCAGCTTCCTACTGAAGCCATCACGATATGGACAAAAAACTACGACTACTACAAGTACTACAACCACGATCCAAATTATGCCAGGGCCACGCCTTTGCCCAATCAGAACTTAGCTGCTCTACATTTCTCACTGTCACTTCCTCTTTAGCTGGAGCTGAATTTTTTGGTGTCCTTTCTTCTTCAGATTCTTCTTATTCTGTCTGTTTTCTTTCTCTTTCTGGTTTCAGTTTTCCCGCAGCATAAGAGGCTGCGCTGCCTCTTAGTGTTTTCCCTCTTTCTGAAGAACAATGTAGACTTTGCACGGAGGTGCAGAGTGCTGTGAGCGCTGCCTCTGTAGCTAGAATCTCATACATCAATGCAGGTGTATGACAGAAGTATCGCATTATTTTTAATTTCCAGTTCACTTTTTTTTCCTTCTTTTAATTTTTCCTTATTCTCTTTTCATCCTTCCTCATTTTTCTGCTATTCTTTTAAAGGGAACAAACTTAGGGCAGTTGGCGTGGACTCCGAAAAAAGGCTGAAAAAATAGATGCATTTACTCATTTAATGTCTGTGCTACAGTCACACAATCTTTACACTCATTAAATTCAAGACACAAGCTAGTCCATCCAAACAAAAATGACAAAATGTGAACAAACTTTTCTAATTAGTGTTGAACAGAAACTGGGAGCAGTGAGGTTTTGGTTTGTGCCACTGGGACAGGTGCAGTACCAGAGTCGGGCAGCGGGAGAGGTTCACTAAAAGGGGACCACGGACGAAGAACTTCTTATCTCTGACTTTTTCTCTGGACCTTTCTTATCTTTTATCCGCACCACCTGACAATGTCAGATTAATATGTCTCCTCATTATTTGTTGTAAAAATATATGGATATTATAATGTCTTTATTTTCAAAGATATATTTTAATTACTGTAAACACATGCGCACTAACACACATGACACACTCTCATCTTCACCACTGGACCAGTTTGACCTCCTTTATGTCATCCCAACATGATGTCATCCCTTCATCTGCAGCTATGTCACGTGCAGCAAAGGTTGTACTCACCATGTTGGAGTCCAGAGAACACAACTGCCCTAAATTTGATTCAGAGTTGTCACTTAAAGATGCCATTTTTCTAAAAATATGTTTGGATTTCTTCATTTTAGCCACGATTAGATTTAGATTCAATAGTGAATTTGCTTTTTTTATGGAGAATAAAGGTTGCTGGGGAAAACTTATCAATTAGATACAAATGATAAAAATCAAATGAATTGAAAACCTGTAAATGAGTTACTAATAGATCATCAGGTTCACTGACCATCACTGTCCATCGTTCCAAATAACTTATCAGTAACCTAGTCTGTTGGTAACTGAGTAATATAAAATGAAGACATGGATATCGTAGTGAGCTCCAGAGTCAGTAGTGAGAGAATCAAACACTATTGTGGGCTGAGTGTGTGTTTATGTGTGTCAAAGCATGTACACACTTGTCTCTCTCTTTATAGCATACTCCACGCCAGGCTCCACAGCTTCCAACCGGTTTGTCAGCATCGGAACACGGGACAACTTTCTGAATATGCCCCAGCAGACTCAGGTATCCCAACTACTTACCATTTAACACACATTACTAATCCATCTCTTCATCCATAACCAGCTGGAGTCCCTGTGGTGTTCTTCTCAGTGTTTCAGTCCCACTTCACCTGTGTACTGGTCCTGTAACAGCTCACTCCAGCCCGTCTCTGACTTTTCACAACTGATTCCTTATCAAATTGAAATATTCGTCACCTTCTCGCAAGCCGAGTTGTAAAAAGTAGGTTTCATCACCAGTGTCTATTGACATATAACAGAAGAAACGTAACAGAAGTGCATATGTCATACTGGACACCTTCAAAAGTCAAAAAGCCAAAGAAGTAATAACAGGTTCACAGAGGTGTTCCACTTCCAGAGCTGTTTTCATCTCTGAACTGAACTGATGAATCAACTGAATCTTTTTATCACTGTTAAAAAATACTTAATACTAGGTACGCCCTTGTTTGATGTTATTATTTGATCTGTACTTTTCTTAAGTTAAAGACATTGATTATTCTCTTCCTGTACAGTCAAATTAGACGGCGTAACAATTAGCTCAGTCTCAAAATAAGGATACTACGAAATATTGCGAGATTTCTTCTCGTGGTACGTTATCAATATACTGGCGCCAAATATCAATATTTAATCAATAAACATACACTCGTTTGAAACTAATTTTTTGACTTGGCTTTTTAAATAATCACAACCAGATAGCGTGCTAATGGTCCTGTGTGCTAACCATGATCAACAGCGCCTCTGATGGCCACAAATAATCCTCACAACAGCACCATACTTCATCAAAAGTACTAATAAGGTCCCAGCATGTGATGTAGGGTAGCATTTAGTAAAAAAAATACTTTAATGGACCAATGGTTGAAAAGTGGTCAGTGCTCCTGCCTTACAGCAGGACGTTCACCAGGTCTGTGGAACATGGTAACTGCCTGTATGAGTGTGGGTTTGTTCTGGGAGCTTCCATCTAAAAACTGAAGTCATTTGGACACTCGTAACGGACCACAGGTACTGGTACTGGTACTGGTACTGGTACTGTGTCAGTGAATGGTTGATTGCCCACCTTTACCTAAACAACGTGCTGCTCATGTACTGAGGCTTCTGGTTTACCGTTCCTCTACCAAACTCAGTAGTTGTACTTCTTTGGGTGTAAACAGCACCAGTCACTTTCGGCTCCAGCAGTGTTGACACATGGTGTGTGTTCAAACAGTGTGTGAGGTTTCAGGTTTGGCTGTGTTCTACCATCGAGGTGCAGTGTTGTCAACACATCAACACAACTCTTCTCATTAGGGGGAACTCAACCTCTCCTCTCCTCTGCTCTGCTCTGCTCTGCTCTCTCCTCCATCTCCTCCTGTCCTCCTGTCCTCCTGTCCTCCTGTCCTCCCCACACATGGAACTGATCTTCATTCCTCCCTGGCACAGCTCTGCCACCCCTCCCTCAAACATTCACAGCCCACGCTCCCTTCCATTCTGTGTTCTCTCCACTCTCGTCTTTTGCCACTTCAGCCTCATGTTGAAATTATCAAGCTCCCCACCTGCACCACTCCAAATGATAATTGGTGGTCACACATACGCACACACACACACGCACACACACTTCAACTCTGTGCCAGGACTAATCTGTGTCATCTTCTCTCCTTACACACATCAGTCTTCAGTAGAGCTTATGTTCCTTCAGGGAATCTGTGTCATTTCTATGATTGGTTGACAAATAATATTAGAATGTCTCCCATTTTGCTGACTGAGTTAATGGAATACATGAGGAGGATTTAGGGCTCAAGTGTCGGATCCCTCCAGTGAGCCAGAGTAAGAACCCAAAGTCTGTACCTTTCCTGCTAAATAGAGCTTCAGATGTTGGCCTTGGCAGCCTGCCTCCTCCACTGCCCGATACAGTAACAGGGGGGGGGGGGGGGGGGGGGGACTCTGAAGAGATCGCTGAAGAGAAAAGCGATGACCTGGGGGGCCCTCCAGTGGTGAGACCGTGGCGTTGCATATAAAGAGATGGGAACCGTTTGTATAAAAAAGTGAGAGGGACAGAAAGGGGGTGTAAGTTGAAGCTCGCTGCACTCCACAGTCACGTCCTGGCTGTCTCGTTGCTGCAGGCAACCAGACATGATGTCATAGACAGTTGGACTGGAGTCTTGAAGGGGAGCTGGGGGGGGGGGGGGCTCTACTGCTAAAGATTACATTGGGAGTGTCGGAGTCAGAGACAGGGAGGAAAAGAGAGGGGGCTCAGGAAAGTTGGAGCCAAGAAGGTGGAGTTATCCACTAATACCACAGGAATATGGGAAATAAGTAGAAGGAGGGGAAACTTTGCTGGATGGTGGCAAAGATTTCCTCAGAGTGTTTGCTTTTCAGGATAAGGGTCATTTTCTTTTTTTGACGTTGCCAACTTGGCACGTGGGATATTGAAGAAAAGGTCAGAGCAGTTCAGCCTGTGTCAGGAAACTGTGTCAAACAGAGGAACTGGATCCTGAGACTGTCTGCCCTACTGTATACCCACCACAAATATAGGGGGACTGTATATGAAGAATTGGTTTACATCCAACCTGATGACGATTCAGTCGTTGATCGTTGTGTTCCAGTGTGGTTGGATTTGTAGAGTAACTTGTTGTTGTTTTTTATCAGTGACAGAAAACTCCAACTCATCATTTTTTCAAACATCCCAGAAGAGTCATCACACACGGAGGAAAGCTTGTTTCAGATGACACCTAGTGGATTAAAATCATATACACCATGTTGTTCCAGAATAGTTCTGCCTGTCATCTCTTAAAATAAGAGTTTCAACTCCGTGGTCGTCAGGGACCACAGAGGAGAATCCACAGTGACTTTGGCTTCCACAGCATGTCCTCTCTGTGGCAAACGTCCACATCAAGTCCTACTGGTTGTGAGACATGCTGCTGGATTAACTTGTGCAGGACAAACTCCATATGCCTTGATATGAATTTGTTATTTAATTGCTAATCACTGTCCCTTCTCTCTCTCTCTGCTCCACAGTCCTGGTTCCTCTGACGAGGCCGCTCTGAATCAACAGCTAAAATTTGAGTCTTGAAAAATTGGAAATTCAAAAGACAAATCACTGCTGAAAAGGGACAGACTGCTGACAGGAAAAAATGTATTTCCCTTTTGCCAACACTAAGAAGTAAGAACGTGACAACCCCTCTCCCCCTTCTCCTCCTCCCCCGCCCCCTCCCCCCAAGTCCAAGACAATTTGAACAGCAGCATTTGCCGTCCTTTCAGTGACACTGAGTGGACTCAGAATACAAGGAGGTGGTAGTGGAGACACTGTCTGTCCCCGCCTTGTCAGATATGAAATGCAATGTGGTTAACCAGACAACTAACCGATTATACATTTAGTTAATCATTATCATTTTTGTGGTCGTTGAAAACGGATGCATCAGAACAGGTTTCACTCACGCCTCATCGGCCCCTTCTCAGGGTCACGATACAATTCACCTCACGCACCCCCCACCACTTTGACTTCAGTAAGAGTACTGATTAGCCAATCATGATTACACCATCAAATGGTGTGACCTATTTATGCACTAAGTGGCCGGTCACAGTACCTTACCAAGTTTAGGGACATCAAGCAGCACTCTTCATGTGCCCCTCCCTCCACTCATCTATGCACTATTCATATAAAATATAGAATGAACAGCATTGCAATTTAACCCTAACACACCAGGCACAAAGCCTCCACAGAGTATACACAGTCTACAATCTGTACAACAATCTGTCATTAATCCATTCACAATGTCAACATCTGGTATTTTCAGGAATGGACATCGAGTTCATTATATCAGCTTTTATTTTGTATGCAGTTGGGTTTTTTTTTTTTTGCTTCAGATTTTGGTTTTGGTTTCGTCTCACGTTGTTTGCTTTGACCTTATTTTGCATGGCATAACCTTCCTTTTTTTGCAGTAATACATTCAGTTAAGTGGTTCAACTTAAGCTACACGGGTTTTACAAAGACAGATTATCAGCAATTTCTTAAATCACAAAACAGTAACATCGGCTCAGACCATTCTTCCCTCTCATTGGTTTGCTCTCCGTCTGGTCACAAAGACCCTGAGAGACGTCCACACACAGACAGTACTGCTGCCCTGACACCTCCGTCATTAAAGGAAGGTCTCTTTATCTGGTTCTCCAAAATACATTTATTAGTTTGTCGTTTATCTTTTTTTTTTAAGCTCTGTCTTATTTTAATTCTTTTTTTTCTAAGTGAATGTTCACATTGCACTTGCTATTGAATTTTATTTTGACTTCAACATAATCTAAGAAATGCCAACCTCACAAAATAACTGGACTGCCTTGCTGTTGGTTCCGTTAGCAGAGATGGTAAATAGGGCTGAGCTGCTGTTTTCAGCCTCTACAGTAACATTACCTCTTTATACTACACAATATTTCAGTACTATAGCATTATATGAAAGTGCCTCTGTATTTCCTTCATGCAATTTATTATAAACTTCAGATTCTCTTCCCACACATAAGCTAAAGCTACAAGGATTGTTAGCGATGGTACATGTGGAAACCATTGGCCCAGGACAGATCTTTAAAGAGGAACGCAAATGTTTTTGTAAAAAAAAAAAGAGAGAGAGAGAGAGAGAGTTTTTTTTTTCATATATATTTATGATATATGGTCCTTTTTTAACTTTTATTACATTAGCTTGTTGGCAGTCTAGTTATTTTTTGAACTTTCAACACCTTCCCCCTGACCCCATTCAACATCTTTCAAGTAAACTTAGCCTTTCATTAACCGTACCGATACACATGTCATCACCATCTGGAGCTCAGCGTGATAACGTCTGGATAAACATGTCACAAGTCAACAGTAGGTTTGAAGAAAAAGAAAAAAGTGTTTGTTCTTTTGATGCAAAGTATTATTGTTATTGAAAAATATGTGTCGATTGAGCCACATGCAATGCAATGGGTAGATCATTGTGTTTGTCTGTTAGAGATTTTTAAGAAAGCTGAAAGAAAAGAGTAAAAAAAAAAATGTAATTGTTTCAAGTCCATAAGCTCCGGGACTCTAAACTAGAGGGCCATGGAAAATCCTAGTCTTTTAAGTTGGGGGTATTTGATTTACTTCTTTATGACTCTTTTTTTTTAATGTTCTATGTGTAATCATTTGTATCATAAATAAGTGGGTGTGCTGAAGGGAAAAAGACTTCAGAAACAAATAGTCTACAGTCAAATCAAACGACAACTTCTGTGTTAACACTAAAAATACATTTTAAATGTGTAGGAATTGGTAACGATCAAAGACAACACTCTGCTGAGGACATGGCATTCTTGCTCTCTCTATGTAATTTTTTTTTCCATTAGTATTTACCAGGTGGAGAGATTTATATTTCTTAATGTTGTGTATTCCTGTTCAACTTTTTGACAGAAAAAAGTATTGTGTGGCCCTGAAAACAATTTCTTTCCCCCCCTGCACTCCCAGAAATTTGCCAGCAGATGCAACACTTTAGTTCATTTTATTTCCTAAAAGTACACATCAGGGAACAATTCCACTTCCACAAACATTTGACAAATACCAAGCTGGTAAAGACACAGCAGTTTGTATATAAACACCGTAAGTATTAAACACGTGAAGATCGTCTGTATCTTGTGTACATACTGTAACTGATACAGGAGAACACTGGCAACAAAAGCCTTAAACATGACAAAAAAAAAAAATCAGCCATTTATCAAAAATGACTCCTTCAGTGCTTGTGTTGTAGTGTATAGTTTTTCCAGCAGTTAAAAGTTGTCCCTTAAAAGTGCCTTTTGTTCACAGATCCATTTTGTAAACAAGATTGTTGTTGTTTTTTCACATGCCTGAGGAGTGCTGCGAGGAGTACAACCACACGCTCAGCGCTTTTCAACGGCTCGAAAAAAATTATCCCTCTCCATTTTACCTCCCCTGCATTTCCACTACCCTCACACTTCTCTTCCTAAAGTCTGTTGTGTATATATACACACATATATATCTATATATATGTATACATACATACAGCTGGAAACTGGAGTGAATTTGTTATTTACTTTTATTTGAAAATTATGAAAATGTTGAAAGGAAAAACAAAAAAAAGTTCTTGTTGTACCTTCCCTTTGTCTTCACTGTCTGTCTTCTATTGGACACTGGAGTAATCTGTAACTATCTCCCTCTCTCTCCCCCTTTCTCTCGCCCTCCTGTCCCTCCCTCGCTCTCTCTCTCCCTCTCTCTCCTTCCCTAAAAATATTGCAGAAAGTCTTGTCTGAGCAGAATGCAGTTAGCTTACATGTTAATCTCGTCTTTATGCTTCCCGTTGTAATATCACACCCATCTTCTTAGCTTCTCCACTGAACAGCTAATGAAAGTGATCAATTTAAGCTGATGGGCTTTTGGGGGTGTCTGGGGATCAGGGGGGGAGGATCGGTTTTAGGGGTGTGGGTGGAAGTTGCGAAGACGATGGAAAGTAACTGACAGGAGCTGAATGAACTAATGGCTGATGGAGAAGGGTGTCTTAGACATAAATAAAAATTCCCTTTTTGTTGTAGCTATTTATTTAGGCCTTGTTTTATTCCCTCCTCTGGTTCCAGATGATTTGGAGTTTTTTAAAAAAATTTCTGTCAGGGTACGCCATTTTAAGTCTCTCTGTTAAAATGCCCTAGACTGTAAATGAACGCTGTGAGCACCTTATACCTGGCCTTGTCCTGCATGAGGCTGGAAGGCGATGGGAGTTACATTTCCAGGAAGCAAACCACAACTGAATAACACATCAGTTTGATAAAAGACCAGCAAACACCTAATGGAACGCCCATATATTTCTCCTCTCACCACCTCGTGCTGGACACCTCTGTACTATGTATCCTATCCTTGTTTTATTTTAACCTGTTGAGGAGTGTATTGTTATTGGTGTAATAAGCACCAACCAGGCTCCTCTGACACCCAGCTCTTTTATGCCTCTGTCTAAACCATCAGTGCAGCACCACATCACCCCCAGAGCTCTAAGAGAAATGCATGTATTAATTATAGTTCTTTTCTTTAAGAAGAAAAACACAGTTTGAGAAGAGCTGGGCCTGATTGAATAAAGGATGTTCTTGACTGTAACACCTCTTTGTGTTGTATCCTTTTTTTGTGTCCTCAACACACCCATATGCTGTGCATCACAAAATCACACACACAAACACCCCTGTGATTGTACAAAGAATTAATCAGGAGATAAATAAAAAAAACTTCAATTAGATTAATTCAACATAATGGACATGCAAAACTGGCACAAGGTTTATGAATTTGAAATTCAAGGTTTATGAATTCAAATCAATTAAAAACTAAAGTATCAAGGAGGAAAACCCGGAGTCCAGTTATGCTTGAACCAAACTGGAGTAATGTTGCAGCTATGGAAAGCATATTGCGTTTTTGTATGATTGAACAAATGTATTACTGTTTGGTCATAGCGTAGCGATAGGGAAAACAAATATTTTACTTAAAGGAAACACACAAAAAAGGAATAAAATAGTGTGGGAATAGTTTGTCAGTACTCTAACATTTTTATTACGTGGCTGAACACAGAAAATATCTGCAGTTACTGTATACCAGTGTATGTATATATATATATATGTATATGTATGAAAATACGATATCCCATGACGTACTTCCGGGTTTCATATTGTTGTTTGTTTCTTCGCAAACAAGTTAACCTGTAAAAATCACCACCGCCTGCTTTTATACTGGTGTCGTTTCAGCGAAATATTTGTCGTATCAGTAGTAAAGTGATTGTTTTATTGTTTGTTTGTTTTTTCAGTTTCGCAGCTGCTCAGGGAATGGCCGAAGGCGCTAAGCTAACGGTTAAGCTAAGGGCAGGCAGCAGCTGGTTGGCTTAGATTCTGTGGAGATTTCAGTTACAGGGTATAGTGCAGCCAGGAAGTGGTGTTTTTCATGGTGCTCTCACTTCGATGGGGAACTGTCTGTTTTCTCAAGGTGCGGATGATCTGTCACTGTTGAATGAGTCTGAGGGGGGCAGTCTGCCTGGAGAGTCTCCGCCGCCTTACCAGGTGGGACGGTGCTCACTGTCAGCATTTTTGTGCAGATTTCACCGCACGTCACCTCCATGTTTATATGATATAAACAAAACATAACAACACAACAAAATATCCTGCCATATGAATCATTTAAACTCTAATAACCTAATAATAATAACCTACTGTAGCGTTATCTAGATTCTGCTAAAGCGTTTCCTAAACTTTGACGTTATAATGTCACATAAAGTTTAATGGTTCTCAAATGTTGGCTCCAGACTCAGTGTGTTGTGCGTGAATTTTGAATTAGAAACGGTGTCCTCTTCATGTCCTTAATGATCGATCACCAACAGCCCAGTGTCCACTGGCACCCCGTTGGTCAACAGCACTGGAGCTGTCATTGTCAATCTGGGCTATGACTGATGTGGTCTGGAAGTTATTCTCCAGATCAGTATGATTGTTTTGGCAAACTTTATGCTGTCTGCCCTTCCAGAGAGAACCCTCACAGATTTATCAAGACTTGGGGCTGAAGCCAGGAGGACACAGAATGATTTACAATGGCTTAGTGAAAACAATTACAATTTATTATTATTACAACATGGTATGACAGACTGATTGTACACCCAAAAAAACAAGCTCTTTCTGTTGGTGCTGACTAATATTAAAGGTTAGTTAGTATCAATCTCTTCAGTCCACATATGTGCAGTGTGTCCTTAGGCAGTCAAAGAGGACACTGACACATATGTCCTACTGAGGGAATTCAGGCTTTTTACCAACTGGCATGTTACCATGTCTCTCTGCAAGATAAAGAGTTTTAAAATGATTCCAGACTGAATCTACATTGTAGTAGTTTGTTGATGCTGCCTCATCATGAGCTGAAAGACCTTAACAACCAGTCCACATCTCCGTCTAACAACGGTTCTTTGCTTTCTTTATCAGGAGCACACTCAACCAAACCAAGTGTACTATCCTACACCTGGTGAAAGTCGGCTGGCCAGCCAGCTGACTGAGGAGGAGCAGGTCCGCATCGCCCAGCGCATCGGCCTTATCCAGCACCTGCCCAGAGGCATATTTGGCTTAGGCTCCAGCCCCTCTGAGAAGAAGACCCAAGAGTTAGTACCATTTCTTTTTATATCTCCTCTGGCCTTTGGTTGATTTCTGTTTTATTTCCTTAGACATTGTGTTTAGTTTAGTTTGAAATGCTTTTTTAAGTCATTGCAACATTTAATTAATGGCGTAGAGTTTATGTTTTTAAATAATACAAATGTAATTTTTTTTTTTTTCCTTTTTTGCCTTAAAACAGAAGTGTAGGTTATAGAACTCATTTGATTTGCTTTACTTGGTTTTATCTGAATTGAACTGTATTCCACTTGCCGTGGTAACTGGGATGGGAATCATATTTAATATCTTAGATGCCATATTGTTTTAGGTTTTTAAAAAAACTCATGATGTTAATGGCAGTATGTTAATATTAGCAGAAAATAAACATCCTTAGGTGTAGTTATCCTCAATCTCAAATGACAAAGAATTCCTCTTTCCTACAGGTGTGTGATCTGCATGATGGATTTCGAGTACAGTGATCCTATTCGGTTCCTGCCGTGCCTTCACATCTACCACGTGGATTGCATCGACCCCTGGCTGATGCGCTCCTTCACCTGCCCCTCCTGCGTGGAGCCGGTGGATGCAGCCCTGCTGTCTACATATGAGACTAACTGAGGTGTGAGAATGGCTACTCCAGCATAAAAGTCAATACTTCAGCCAAAACAGTCCTAGCTCTTCAGGTAGCCAAGGTGTTGTGGTGTTGTTCAGATGTTTGAAGAGCGACTTAGGATGTCTAAAGCTGTACCACACGGTACGCTGATTGGGTCTAACTCAGACGTGGGCAAACTTTGGGTCCTAAAATTTGACGGGGGGCCGGGTCAGGAGCAGATCGATGGAGTGTTAGTAAGAACTAAAACAAATGACACGTAAAAGTCGTAAAGGCTAAAATGCTTTAAGCCTTTACTATGCCATCTATTGGAGAAATTCGGGTATTGTAGGAAAAGGCAGAAGTATAATGATAATGGTAGTTAATAACATAATTTGGACACGTTTGGCGGGCCGGATTAAAAAGCCAAACGGGCCGCATCCGGCCCCCGGGCCGTAGTTTGTCCATGTCTGGTCTAACTGATTACCCTTTCTAATAGCACATACTATGAAGTACATCTATCTATCTATGGTCGTTACAGTAACAATAGAATTCACTTTCTGCCCAGTTACCGTCGAACCAACATGACCTTTTAGCCTCAAATAAGAAAGTTACACAAAAGTAATTTCTGAACAATAACGATCAGCTGACAGGTCAGATATGGATGTTATTCATAAAACTAAGATAAATTATATAGAAAAGAAGTCACATGTTAGGACTTAATATTTACAAAGAAATATTTTCAATGCAAAATGAATCATCGGAAAATCCCATCCTCATTTGATGGTGGGAAAAATGTGCAATAGGTTTTTCTGAGAGATAATCCAGGGTGTCTTGGTGAGTCAAGTCGAAGTTATTTACTTTTTAACAATGAAATGGCCCTTAATGCACAGGCCATATATAGGTGTATGTCAAGAAGTATCACCATTAGAATTGGAAATGTCCTCTTCTGAAGATATGGCATGGATTATTTTATAGGTGTTTATCGTGTGTTATTTTTACTGTAGTTTTTTACCAGTGATGCTGCTTTTATCAACACGATGATTTTTCTTTTCATCTTGATTAGAGTTTTTGCACTTAATAATCAGTGTTTTGACTGTTCTTTAAAAATCATAGACACACCCGTGTGCGTGTGAACATGAATGCCTTCATGGGTGTGGACACAATTTGGGCTCTCTCTCTCAAAGCACCTTAAAAAAACTGGGCCCCTGGTAGCATTGATGTGTTGAAGGCTCAGAACAGAAGGTAATATATTTACAGAGGTCGTGAGCTGTTCTACTTTCTTATGTGCACTCTGATACTTTAGAACGTGTAGCACAAACCAGGTAAATTGTTAGGGAAGAACGTACAGCGAAATATAGAAACTGAATGGGCAACTGAAATTCTGATTTTACAGCTGTGACTACTTCAGGGTTATATATTCATTTACTCATGCAAACATATATCTGTGTATAAATACACTATATATGTACATATATGTACACATATATGATTACATTTATACATGTATAGGCAGTGTGTGTGATTTACCAGGGCTGCTGTGCCTTTAGAGGATTGAGCTAAGCTGATTCCAGTGACGTACAATCACTTCTGAGTTGTCCTTACATGGACAGGTAGATACCAGCAATGTATCATTTTGTCACTGTCTAACAGTGTTGAACAATTCTTTCCTTTTGATGAACAGGAGTTTTTATGTAAAAGTTGTAAACAGATCCCAAATCTCACACCAATACATTGTGCTCCTTCTGAATGGCATATTAAAGCTAGACAAGTCACTGTTGTTGCTGCTGATGCTGGTGCTTTGTGTGGTTGACTCAATGTTTGTTTTCATGATATTTCACAACCTGCTGTGTTTGTTTTAGTTTGTTTGATTTTTAAAACAGCACCATCCATATCAGTGGTTGCCTGCCTTTTTTGCTTGCGGCCCCATTTTGACATGACAAGACATTTTTCCCAGACATACAGCAGCAGCTTTTGGTTAACTGAGGATTAGAGGTGAATGTCCAGTGAAGTTTGGTACAAAAACACAAAGACTGAATGTTGAATATAAAGTCAGGGTTTTTCATTGTTTGTCATTTCAGGAGTGTATGCCTTTAAATAAGGGACGTTGGCAACGTACAGCGCTTCCTATGTCGTGACAGTTAACTACAACTACTTTTTTTACGCAGTAAAGCAATATTTCTGATAAACCCAGTGTTTCACAGGGACGTTGTTCTGTCATAGTCTGTGAACAACATTCATCACCACTGTATTCAGCCTTGATAAAACTCCAGCTCTATCCTGAACCCATCTGTTTGTTGTTGTATTTAATGCACTGCACCCCTCAAACATTCTTCTGCCACACCCAACTTTTATAAACAGTACCACACTGCAAAAATGTAAAAAAAAAAGGTAAAACTGAGCTAACTAGCGTCAATATTTTATATATAGTTTAAAGGATGTGTCAGAACTGGGGTTAAAAATGTATATATACATATGTTATATTTAACTTTAGCTAAACATATTGAACTATCCATACTGTGAGTGCTAACACGCCCTGATGTTTTCTCCTGATAGTTCCTGTAACATATTATCTTTATTCATGTTATATTAATTACCATTGTTATATCTCTAATAATACATATTATTATCATAGTTTTTATAACCATTAATTAAAAAGTTTTAAATATTAAAATTAAAAATCTTGTTAGACAGTACCTTGCACCGAACTATATTTTATCATCACCAGCCGTACTGCTCACTACTGTGGGAGTAAAGTAATTTGGTCGCTGTATTTACCCTGAATACTTTCTCTTGAGTAAATATTTTAAATGACTTTAATGAGGTTTTAATCAAATGTGTTTTGACTTTTTATTGGCTCGGTAGATAAAATAATGACTGCTGGGACACACCCTGTCTTGGAATGTTCAGCAGCCTAAAAACAAATAAACTAGTTGAGCATGGAAACCATCTAGTCGTATGTGTGTGTGTGTGTGTTCAAATGTGGGCGTGGCCAATGTGGAGACTACAAATCTCACCTGCACTGGCAGGATCTGGCTCTTGCCATGTACTGACAGAGTACGAAGACAGTACTGACTGACAGTGAGGCAACCACGGACGTTAGAGCAGCACGGGCCTCACACAACTCAGTAAGTACCTTTTCACTACTTGTAGTAAAGCGTTGTTATACTTGTGGTACTCACAACTAATTCAAATAAACCCTGTCTTGTTGGAATACTATCTGTTAGTACTGTCGGTGCCATCAATTATTATTTGTGTTTTCTCATGTATATATTTATCTATATATGTATACAGTATGTACTCTACTCTTCACTGTGGAATATATCAATGCAGATCTCAGAGTCTGCCCCGGTCTAACCTGTGGTTTCATTTAAGACGAGAGTTAACAGGTCTGATGTTTCACAGTCTGTGTGAAGGTGATTTTTGAAGTATTAGTCAGAATATAAAAAGAATGTTGTTGGACTGGATCAGTGAGGCGTGGCAGTAGGCAGCGACTGAAGAAACTAAGGCTTCTTGAACAAACGAAAGTCGAAATAACTGAAATAATGATAATTTTTCAAAACAAAAAAGACAAAAGGAGAATGAACACTGGGTTACACTGTGCTGTAGGAGATGAACACGTGTGCAATGGAAGTATCAAATACTGAGTACAGTAGTATTTGCATTAAAGTCTTAATAATGTTTATTTTGTCAGCTACAAAATCGTACTCCACTAATGCTTTACTGATATTTTAAGACAATTGTTTAAAGATAAATAATGATAGATACACCTGTGATCTGGCTTTATAGTCTTGTTGAGCTGAAGTAAGGAGTGAACAGTTGTCAGTGCTAACCCCCGTCTCTGTTCTCAGATATGACCAGTTACTATACAAGTCAGCTCTCTGAGCCGTCCACCTCTGGATTGAGACTGATTCTACTGGGGAACCTCGGGTGTGGGAAGACGTCTTCAGCAGACACCATCCTGGGCCAGCTGTCCCCCGTCTCACCCTCTGCTTCTAGAAGCTGCCAAGTACGACGAGGCTTCTCTGAGGGCCGGGATGTGACTGTGGTAGAGGCTCCGAGGTGGTACTGGAATGGCGGCAGGATGGAGACCAGCGTCAGGCAGGAGACGGGACGAGCAGTAGACCTGGTTGCACCTGGACCACATGCTATTTTGCTTCTAGTGCCAGTTAGCCAGTTTACTGAGGTTGGTCTGGTCCATTTTTTCATCACCATGTTTAATATGGAGTTGAACAAGGAATATATCAGGAAAGGGTAAGAACGCCACGGAAACTATCACTGTGGAAGTCCACGACTAAAGAAAAGACCAGTGCTAGGAGTCCTCGATTAATGACATCCATGACCTGTGACATTTCGAGTGTCATAAGAAAGTTTGTCATTCTTATGTATGGTTCCATAGTGGTTAGCGCACCTGCCTCAGAAGCAGAGAGCAGATAGTCCTGGGTTCAATTCCCAGAGAAACCACATGCTTGGCTCTTGTAAGTCAGACTCTTCTGATGTCATCAGTGTTAGCATAGGTGCGTGACATGGCTACTTAGGTGTAGTATGTCAGTTCCAACTTTCAACAAAAATCGGGTTACGTCGTACTGTAACAACAGAACTGTGACAGAAGTCATTTATTTCTAAACTTTTTTATGGAGGCCATTTATTGATGGTGCACACTTGTAGACAATGTTGTGGAACCCGTGCATCTGTACTGGTTCTAACAGGCCATGTGCAAAAGGTCACGTTTTTCATCAGTTGATATTTGTGGTAATAATTAAACATCACCTTCAGTCGAACAGTAAATGTTGAATCAGCTGGTCACGTGACCTGTTGTCTCTGTCTCTCCCTGCTGTTCCCAGATGGAGTGTCGTGTCCCAGCGGAGCTGGAGGAGGTTTTTGGTGAGAGGTCGCTGGATCACACACTTGTCCTCCTGACATGTGGAGATTACCTGATGGGAAGAACCGTGGAGGTAATAGACCTGAGTGCCAGGAGAAAACCTGGGTTTAGTTTTTATTATTAATATTTAGTAACTGATATGGCTGCCCGGAGCCTGTGGTTAGTGTTTAGACTTGCAGATGCATGATCTGTTTTTAGTCACTTCCCAGTATCATCCCAGTTCTGCTGCCTCTGTTTGAGGTTTCAACCTCACAGCAGCACAGTGTCAGCTCAAATACAGACCACACCTTAATTCAAAATACACCTTGGGAGCTGAGATCACTGCTGGAGTCGACAACACGTCAACTCTTTCAGCCAGTACTATATTAAACCTAGTCAGTGAAGTTACATATGTGAAGTAGCTCTGCTCTCTTAAACTCGCAGTTTTGTTTTTATAACAAACAAACCATTTTTCCACAGGAATACTTGGAGAAGGAACACCCAGGACTGAAGCAGATTATTGCCCGCTGTGGAGGGAGGTACCATGTGATCAATAATCGTCATCGAGAGAACAGGGAACAGGTCTACGGGCTGCTGGAGAAGGTTGGTAGGAGAAGAGGATGGAAAACATTTACCAAAGTATTCTTACATTGATTTTGTAATCAGTCATGGATATGATGGTGTTCACTTTTAAACTGCCAGACTAGACTCTTTATCTGTCAGGTAAAAACACTTCCTGCTCTCTATCCTCCTACATGGTCCAAGGGACTTCATGATGTAGCATTAGCCACACACTAGTTTTTACTTTTTCTTAAAAACCCGTTCCCACATGTTCTGCACCAACACTAGATGGCGTGATATTTCCAGTCGTGTGTGTGGGTCTTTTGGCCGCCTGTTTAGCTAAAACCAAGCAACAAATGCAAACAAAAGCAAAAACTGTAACCTGCTGCGATGGCTGACCTCACATGCCAAAACAAGGAGGTGCAAACTGTGTCAAAAAAAAGTGCAATAATGTTTTACATATAAATCTGTACTACATTTATCTCCACACAACTAAATCAAAGGGTGGAGTTTTGGCATGTGTACATGTGAGTTGTTTTGTCGTCATGGAAACAGGTGGACAATATGGTGAAGCGAAATGGGGTCTTCCACATAAAAACAGAGCAGGAGAAACTGGCCGAACAACAGCAACAGGAACGGATGGAAAAATATGCAGCTCAACTGGAGGAGGAAAAAAAGGCCACGTCCAGATACGCTGTGACCACACAGACACGGAGGGGTATTACAGAAGAGACACAGAGTGCTAACCTAGAGAGGAGGAGGACACAGATGAGAGACGATATACAGGAAAGACAGGTGTCCGGACAGTTCCAGTCACCGCCGTCATCAGAGCAGTGGGATGGAGGACAGGTGAAGCGCTTCAGGCTGAATGCAGGTAGATTTGAAGTTCGTTTCATTTTATAGTACCGTAGTAAACACACTAGCCACATGGACCATTATTTAACATGTGTTTTTTCATAGAAGGAGCAATACTGTCACAGGCCACATCATCTCCAAAGCTGAGAACCACCTGTAAGACCTTATTTACATTTACATTTATTACATTTGATCTAATATATATCACTGGTGCAGTTAGAACCCTGTTAATGTGATGTTTTTTACACAGATTATCACAGAATCAACAGTTCTGAGGAGAGATCACCTCCTTCTGTCTCCTCCTCATCTCCCTCACCACCTTACTCCACCGTACCCTCCTCCCCTAAAACATCACCATCTTCCCCTCGTTCATCCTCTCTGTTCACCTTTGCCCCAGCCTCCCACAGCCCTTCCTTCACCTCATCCTATTCAACCCTCTCATCAACGTATGCATCACCCTCTTCTTCATCCTCTGTCTCCTCCTCGTTCCCCCAATCCTCTTCCTCTTCCTCTTCCCCTGAGCTGCGACTTGTTCTTCTGGGAAGATCTGGAGCAGGGAAAAGCACGGCCGGAAACAGGATCCTTGGGCGAGAGGAGTTCAAGTCCCAGACGGACAGTCTTACACCAGTCACTCAGGAGTGTGAGAAGAAGAAAGCTGTGGTCGAAGGAAGAAGTGTAAGTGAGTCATAATTCACCTTTCACCTGTTGTGTTATTTACCAAACTGACTGTAAATCCTCCCCCAGGTGGCAGTGGTGGACACTCCAGACTGGTTTCAGTCAGAATGCTCCCTGGACGAAGTGCGAGCGCAGATCTCTTCCTGTGTGGCTTTGTCCAGCCCTGGTCCTCATGCCTTCCTCCTGTGCACCCCCCTGGACCAGCCGGCCAAGATGGAGCTCCAGGCACTCACGGCCATCGAGACTGTCTTCGGCTCCGAGGCTGTGCAAAATTACACCACGGTCCTGTTTACTTACGCAGACAAACTGAGGGAAGGGGAAAAGATAGAAAAGGACGGCGTGGAGGCCTACATCGCTCATCAGAGGAAGGATCTGTTGAGCCTTGTGGAGAAATGCAGGGACAGGTTTCATGTGCTTGATGATACCAGAAGAAACACATCAGAGCTGCTGGAGAAGGTGGAGCAGACGGTGATGGAGGCCGGAGGACAGTTTTATTCCTCTCCCGCTTTTCAAGAGGCAGAGCAACGAGTGAGAGAGAAGCAGATGGAAATAGCAAGAGAAAACAGAAGTAAAAAGCTGGAGCAAGAGAGAGCAGGAAGCGGCGGACAGCTGAGTTCCGAGAGAGACGTGTTCTACCCGTACATGCAGACTGTGGCAGAAGCAGAGGAGGAAGTAGGAGAGGAGGAGATTGAACAAACCAGGGAAGAAGCAGAGATGAGTGTGAGCACCATGGACATCGAGAGCCTCCCACCTATCACCATGTCCGGCCTGTCCCCATCAACTCTTAAATCTATTATGGAGAAAATCAGGTCCAACAGCCAACTGCTGGGTCATTTTTTGTCAAGTAGCTCAGTGTGGGTGAGCGAGGGGGCAAAACAGGTTAAGACCAGTCCAGTTTGGGGTAAAGTCGGCAGTGGGGCACAGAATGTCCAAAAGATGGTGGTTGATAGTTCAGTGTGGGAGAAGGTCGGAGCAAGTGCAAGACATGCATCTAAACTAGTTGGAGACAGAGTTCCCAAGGTGGTGGTGGACAGTTCAGCATGGGTGGGAACTGGGGCAAAAGCAGCAGCTAAAAGTCCAGTGTGGGGCAAAATGGGTTCAGGGGCCAAACTGATGGCCGACACATCTGTGAAACTAGGAACTGGACTCGGCAGTGGGGCCAAGAATTTGGCACAAAATCCCATGTGGGGAAAAGTAGGGTCTGGAGCTAAGCTAGTGGCTGATGGGTCCATGCAGGTTGGAGCTGGACTGGGTGCTGGTGCGAAAAAGGTGGCACAGAGTCCAGTGTGGGGGAAAATGTGCTCCGGGGCCAAGGCAGGAGCCACAAAGGTGGCTGAGAGCCCAGCGTGGGGGAAAGTCTGCAGCACTGCTAAACAGGTGCCTAAGGCAGTGATTGCAGGTGCTCTGCTTGGTCTGCTGCTGGGGGTGTTTTTGGGTGGCATTATTGGGGGGGCTATTGGCGCAGCTGCCGGATCTGCACTCACTGAAGTGGGGAGGAGGAAAATCCGCAGCAGGAACGCTTTAGAAAAGTGCAGCGAAGTGTCAGAAAGTTTGGACAGCAAAGTGGATTCAATGGTGAAACAAGGAGAGAAAGCGTTGAAGACAGACTAGATCAGGGTTCCTGGGTGGACCGGTGTTCTTATTTAGTCCAGCAGTAATTCCAGAATAAAAATGAGCTTTTTATTGGCTTGTTGCTTCTCAGAAATAAAAAAGAAAACACTGAGCATTAAAACAGAAAATGCAGGGAAAAATAAAATGTATGCAGCGTAAAACCTTTTCTGTAAATGAAGTGAATCTTAAAGCACTTTACATCTTCATATGATGTCAAAATAATTGATGTGGTCTTATTGAAGTTACTGTTGTTTCAAAGCTTTCAGAGAGAAATGTATTTATCCTCTTCCGCACGTACGTAATGCAGGATGTACAGTATAATACAGTGGACTGAACACTGACTATTTATTACTACTGTATCAGCAACACAAACTCCATTAAACACCATTCAAATATTAAACACGTGAGTGTTTTCAATGCTACCAAGAAACAGAGTTTGTAGATAAAAATGCTACGAAAATGTGGATCATTAACTTTAATTTATTTGATATTTTCAGCGTGAGACGTGTGGGTGTTTCTACAAAATGGACAGACTTTGTTCTCACTAAAACGCTGACGTACCAAACTGGTTTCACTGCAAATCTGTTATGTTTTACTTGAATATGAGTGTTTTATTGTGTTAATGCCAGCTAAGATTTATCTGAGAGCCAGATGCAGTCATTAAAAGAGCCACATTTGGCTCGTGACCACTGATGTAAGGTGAGTATAATAATCCCATGGGTAGCCTTACCCACACCTCCACAGCTACCTGTGCAAAGACCCACCATTTTATATCTGTAGACACGTGTCAGATCAGTGTCACGTACAACCAAAGTTACAAACAGTCGAGAATTGACTGAGACACAACATAGTATGGGTCACCAACTATATCTATAACTATATATAAAATCTGACAAGCAAAATGTCAGTCAGTAAATAAACAAACAAAGACCTTGTGATTCATGTTAGCACTAACGTTGTGAACCTTCTGACTGAGTTAGTAATTTCTAACTCCAGCACAGCAGAAGAAGAAGGTGCCGTGTGAAATGTGTGAAAGCAGCCTCTTCCTGTTGGGTGGTCCTGATACAGGGGATGACTGAGCGTCCTGGTCGCTGTTTTCCCTTCTGTTTTATACCACTCCCATCTTCCATTCGGCGGTTTCCACCCAACATATGCGAACCACTGAACACACACATGCAGAAGGAAACACATTGATCGTCATTGAGACACCACTAACTGTTGTCCCTTCCTTCCACAAAGTCAAACATGCAGAGACCACCACACAGCTGCAGTGGCTTATCTCCCACCACATCGACCTCTTACCACCTCCAACCACATCCAACGTCCCTCCTCACCTTCCTTACACAAAACCACTAACATCTGTTCTACCATTGCAATAATATTTGTTATTTTTTAACAAATTTTTGATTTTTCTTTTCCTTCATACCATATGGATCACAATAATAATAGCATTATCTGGGTTTGTTGTTATTGGTGTATACTAAAATTATTATTATTATTATTATTATCATCATTATTATTATCAGATCAGGAAAAAAACTAAAATGATTCTGTTTGGACGTTAGGTTAGGTTAGATCACAGTACATCACAGACACCCATGTCTTGTTGTATAACTGTATAATATTTTTAAAATGACAAAAACACACAGTCTTATTAAAAATATCTAAAGTCAAAATAAAGATTTTTAATAATAACACCTTTTCAATTAATAGACCATAATATTGAGTTGATGAAATGCGTTGATCTTCAAACAATACTGTATATGATTGAAGTCTGTCTCCTTGAGTGACAGCACACTCCAGTTGGCTGTATAGTCTTCTTTGTTTGCTTTTCTTACTGTTACTATGCATCATTAGTGGCTAACACCATCCTTCTCTGACCCTTCACCGGTCCTAGAATGTCTTGGGTCAGTGAAGGGGCCTTGTGCCCAAAGCTTTTTTCACAGTCTGTGTCACCGTAGCAGCTGGATGTCGCTGGAGACTTTGTCTTGGCAATGACTGAATTAGTAGAGTTTCTGAGTCTGGTCGGTGTGACCAAGTGGGGAGAAGATGGTCGACCTGCTCCAACGCCTTCATCTACAGCTTCCTCCGGAGCTGAGTCTCTGCCTTTGTCCTCAGCTTGGTCTTTCAGTAGGGAGACCAAGAAGTTAATGTACTTCACAGCAAGGCGAAGGATTTCATTTTTGCTGAGCTTCTTGTCAGGCGGGTGTGTGGGAATGAGTTTTCTGAGTTCAGAGAAAGCCCCGTTTACGTTCTGCTGTCGCCAGCGCTCACGGCTGTTGGTGAAAACACGACGAGCAATTTTCTGAGGTGGACCTGTAGGAAACAAAACATAAGCAGAGAAACCTCAGTGAGATTCAAAAAGAGGTTTCTGACCAGGTGAAAATGCAAATATAGTAATATATTATTAATATATTTGTTGACATTAAGTAATAAATAATAAAGGAACAAGAACATTTTGAGATTTACAAAAGATTTGGTTGTTTTGGTGCTGCTCTAGACCAGGAAAACTGACCAACAACAGCATGCATTAAGCAATAAAATGTGCCAACAGTTCTGCCATAAATTATAAAATAAGATCATTTAAAAGCTTTTCAATTTGCTTTCTGTGATCTTTCCTTTTAATATCCAGAAAATAACTCTAATAAATAAAGCAAAAACAGGGAAAGGAAAATAAAAGAATAATCATGGCCACTAAAAGCGTTAGAAAGTAGTAAGTTAGCTAATACGTTTGTTTCCGTCGCAGTAAATGAAAAACAACCGGTATCCTGGATTACGAGGTGCAGTTAACTACTCCGTAAAACTGACTTTCCGCTAACCAATTAGGGAACCCGTGAGCCGCAGAAGCTCCGCCCTGTAATTCTACTTCCTGTTCCCAGATCGCGGGCATTACGTTTGAGCTGTTTCGTGTGGTATAGCGACTTATTTTATATTAATTAATCGACTCTATAGAATGACGCGAGAAACTAACCCAGCGAGATGAAACGTGTAAGAGCTACATTTACTCATTGGTGAGTGAAAGAAAATACTTTCAATTTTTTTTGTTTTGTTTTGTTTTTTTGTTGAATGAATGAATTGGAAAATTATTTTTGTTTTAAAACTTAGAAAACTTGATTAATTAATTGTGAGTAACTAATTAAAAAATGGAAATTGAAGCTGTTTTACACAGACAGGGTGTGAATGTAACATCTGTAAATCTGGATTTCATTTGACCTTTTTATAGGTCAGGTTTTTTGGTGCCGTCAATGAGTGCTTGCGGCCATGTTCTGATGCCCACTGGATCATTTTCTGTTGGAGTTCTGTGAGGTTTCTGGTTTCCAGATCCTGAGACCATTTCTAAAATTCGATCGTGAGCCGCATCAAACCACTGGACTGTGCGGTAGGACAAAAACACACACCAGTACACTGAGATGGATTGTAAAAAAAAAATGGCCCCAACAGTAACTTTGGGTAAGAGGGTTTTTGAGTTTGCTAGCTTTTATTATTTTAGTTTATTTTCCATTAAATGTTTTTGCAACAAATTGTAGACGATACAGTTGTGTGTAATTGATTAATGCGGGTAGGTTAAATTTCAGGAATGTCTGTAGAAATATATATTCCAACTGTGACTGTTGTACAATTTCTGATTGTTTATTTTCATGAAGGGAAACTCACAGTCACTGATTTCCATCTCAAAGTGTGTCGAAGATCTTCTCTTTATCCGGCTGCTGTTCACTACGCCGTAGTTTCTTCCTGATGGATTCAAGTAGGAGCTAATAAAGTAATACAATATAGTAGGAAAAAGAAAGACAGTGTAAGATGTTTTTCACTTCACAATACAAGTGAATAAACAACCACAAATACAGTACAGTCATAGAGACTGCAGGAGGATTTTAAAGACTGAGGTGTGACTGTCTGTAGGCTGTTGATTGCGAGTGTGTGCACAATTTCAGCCAAGTCTCATTTGTTTGATTAGAGGCTGGTTTGTTTTTCAGGGGGAAGAAATCAAGCAATAAAGCCTCTTAGAAACAACTAAGGCACAGGGAAGAGGGAAGGTAATCCTGATCTCAGACCTATGCTCTGATTACCTGAAGAAGTCCCTTTTTGTCGACTAAGACAATGTTGTTCTGCTGCAGACAAAAAAGTGTGTAAAACCGAAAAATGTGTGTAAAAACTGAATTATAGAACGTCAACACGGCCAGTGTGTTTCTGTCAAGACTGGAAAGAATCAAAATGGATGCTATTTATTTGTTATTTATTGATTAAATGTATTTAATTATATTGTGATGTAGTTGTAATGGTAGCTCCTGTTTTTCTGTGAGGCCCAAAGTTAACAGACCTCTGGGAAAGCCTTCCTTTAAGCATTCAGAATTTTTGAAAATTAGAAACAACCTTTCTTTGAAGATGCTGGGGAAAAAAGTCAGTATCTTCATTGCATCTGGAGCCGACTTCTCTAATTTGAGGTTGTTAAAGTACAAGTATTCAGCTACCACCAAATGTTGCAGCATGAAAAGGAACCTTTAATGAGAACATGTCACTGAAGTGCTTCTTCCTACGTCCTCCCTGTGAAATCTATCAAAAATTAAATTCTGAATGTGACTATCGCTTCAGTGATTCCAGTTTGGTGCAGTCTGTGAGTCATTATGCTGGCCAGGGGCAGCACCAGCAGTGCTGGCTGTACAGTAATGTGCTGGCAGTGGCAGCAGTGATAAGAGTAGTTCAGGCAGTAATGCACCTCAGTGGCTACAGTGCTGTGGCAGTAATATACTGGCAGGGTGCAGCGGGGCATTTGTAGTGCTGGTTGTTTGCAGTATTTGCCCATATCCTTATCTGGATGTTGTCAGTGCAACACCCTGAGGAAGGTGAGCCTGATTGGCAGCTCACATTTTGGTGCAGCTATGTTTTTAAAACATAAAGATAACTTGTTGTTATGCTGCAGCCTGTTCACAGCACTGACTTATTTTTGTTGAATTGTACATTAGCTACGCTGATTAGGTTTGAATTTAAACATGTTATATGACAACAGCTAATTGGCTGTGATGGTTATCTTCTAGGGCTGGGAATGAGTTCAAGTAATGAACTCAAGTAATATTGTTTAAGCCATTGATGTAAATCAGTTTTGAGAATTTGGTGTGGTCAAAAATAGACTCTAACATTTAAAACTATATCAGTAGTATTAAATAAAGTCTCTTGATGGTGGTGACATTTGGGCTAAGAGGTAAGAGGTTTGTTGAGGTGAAACATCTGCGTCTACTCAACAACGTTGTTAACAAAGTTCCACTCATCACATAAAATGTGCATAATTGGAAATAAAATCTCACCGAATAAAGAAGGGATGTGTGGACAGGTACTGTTGAGCCAACAAGGACCCCTGGGACGGAGCTGTGGGACCTGCAGCAGTGAAACGGGTCTCTTGGCTACAGTGAATGTCTCCATGAGGACCATGTAGGATGCTGGGAATGGGATGGAGTGCAGTCAGAGGGGTGTTGGGCAGCGGCAGATGGGGCTTACTGTCACCAAGACTGATGACTGGAATGTGTGAAGGAAGGAGAGAGGATGATGTCATGATAGATGATGCGTAGGTATGTGGAGAGAGCGGGTGTGGGGGGGTCTTAGCTGATGCTGGCAGCAGGGGTGGTGGAGAAGATAGCTCTGGAGTCTTGTTGTTTGAAGCAGCATGGGCCGTGGGACTTCGTCGGGCTTCTTCTTCTTCTTCATTCTTCTCCACCTGTTCCCTCTTGGGCTCTATGGTAATGGAACCAGCAGCTTTGTCAGTGTGGTACTTGGGAGACTGGATTGCACCTGAAGTGGATGTGTCCTCGTGTCCCGCACACCCTGTCTTTGTAGTTTCAGGACACGGGGAGCTGATAGCATCTGTGAAAGTTAGGCTCTCGTTCTGTGAAGGACTGCCCCGCTCCACCGACGTGCAGGTGGGGGAAGAAGTAGAGGAGGAGGAGATGGGGCAGGGTAAGTCAGACGGGAGGGTAGATGGACTGCAGGAGGAGTCCAGCTTTTCCATCATAGGGTTCAAATCCCAGGGAGAAATTTAAATTCGTCCTCCTTCCCCAGTATAGACAGCGAGTGTGTTTTTATGTTGTTTCCTCATGTGTATTAAGACTGCAGCTACTATGGTCACGTGCAGTTTGTACCTTAGAGTGCCCTTAAACCACCCTTTACCAAATCTGTTCCATAGCTATGGTAGAGAGTCCGTCATATCCTCTTCCTGTGTTGTACTTCCCTGCAGAAAGTGAAGCATTAAGTAAGTAAGAAAATAAAGAGTTCCACATCACTGAAATATTTATTTCCTTATACTCAGACGGTCTGTCGGTTGTCATGGATGGTTCTTTAGCTAACAACTACTGCTGCGTCCTTGCTCTGTATGTCTGTAGTATATATCACATTTCCATTTCTGGACAATTAGAGAATCTGTCACTTTCAGTGCGGTCTGTTTTGTGAAATGCATTAAAATTGACTCATAAATGAGTCTACATTGCTATAATTAGGTGTATTGATTGTGTTAAACAAACTGAAAAATATGGCAAGTTAGAGTGTGTGACATCAGTCAGAATTCATGCTGTTGCTTTTCCAGGCAAGAAGAAGTTTGACATTCAGCTCGTGTTGTTAGATTTTGCAATAGTGGTTGTTCCTGTTTTAACCAGAAGTCACGACTCTGGTTGTGGACAGTTCCCTTTTTTGAACACATTTCCTTTTGCTAGTGTTTTACTAATGTTTCCCTGTAAAAACATGAATCAAGGTTATAGTTTAAGAAACAAGAAACATGTCTTTGCTCCATCATTTGTATCATTAATTAACCACCAGTCATCGAGTATTTGATTAACAGGGTTAGAATATTTTTATAGTTTGTTTTGGTTTGGATTTATTTACTTTATTTCACTGTATCTGTGCATAAATAATGTTATAAATAAGAATATGCTCCAACAAGATTCTGTCCATTCTCTCTTTTTTTAAAATAAAACATTCTGACTTTTTGTTAAAAATGTGATGTAAAGTAATGTAAAACTACTCACATTATGACATCTGTGAGGTCCATCTGTTTGTGTGGCAAAATCCATCCCCTGGTGCGAGCGTTCTGTGGACGCACATGTTGTATCTCTTCTGTTTTTAACGTCCTCCTTGTCCTTCTCCTCCCATGAGATGTTTTGACTTGACGGTCGCCTATCACCGCTTGTCTGTCAATTTCTCACATGAAAACAGAAGTCTAGCGTTCGCTCTTCTCATTTCTCCCTCTAAGAACTTAGTCATTACAAATTGACTTGAGGCAAAAGTAAATGGAAGAAGATAACGGTACGGCGCTGCTCTGCTAAAGAAGGCGGAGACGTGTGGTCATGTGTGGCTCCTACATCTCTTCCTTCATCTGTCACTCCCTCTCATTTTCACTCTCCTCAAGATTGGGAATCAGTGTTCTGATGGTGGATGCCAGTTGTTGAACAGTGGTGCAGGCATATGTGAGGTGGGAAAGAGAGAGCGAGGGAGAGGGAGAGAGAAACGGGGGGGGGGGGGGGGGGGGGGGGGGGGCAGAGGGACAGAGCAGGAACCATGTTGCAAGAAGAGTTTTCCGCTCCCTGCTGGACAAGAGGATGTGCAAGTACAATATGGTGGCTGCTGATAACGGCCTCAAACGCTGAGTGTAGCCTGTAGATAAGGACCCTCTACCACTCCTCACCCAGCCACCACTGAGTCTGGCACACACACACACACACACACACATAAACAATTCTCATAACAAACCAGTAACACACACACACACACACACAACCATGTCCATGTGTATATATGTGTGTGCTCTCATACACACTGTACACAAAAAAACACCTCGCATCAGACTGGTCAAACCTTGACTTTGAAGGAACTTGGGCCAAATCCAACACAATATCCACAGCTGCAGAAAGCCATAAAGCAGGAGTTGTCCACACTGTCGACCTACAGTAAACACATCCAAATATATTCGCGAAAATAAACTGAACATACTTTGTATGAATGTAGCTCTAAGGCACGATATGATTAAATTCTTATAGTAAAGGGTCACTTTCTACACACCACAGAAATATATATATATATATGTATATATATATATATGTATATGTATTAATTCAGTTGCTCATTATCTACCAGCACTCCCTTTACGATCTACTGGTAGATCACTTATTGAGCGTTGCTGTCATCAACAGACAACTATGTACAGCAGGCACATGTGTGTGTGTGTGTATATATATGTATGTACATATATATATATATATGTATATATATATATATTTGATTTTGATATTCTATTAGCCCACAGAGCTTTTACTGAAACATTAATATTGAAACATTTTATTGAAGGCTCCAGGGTCAGCTTTCTTAGAAATACATCTCCAGACCTTTTCTGCCTTACTGTAGACATGTCAAACTCAAGGCCTGTGGGCTGACTGTTGCCCACCACCTCATTTTTTGTGACCTACCAGAGCTTAGCATGACTCTGGATATCTTAGAGTCTATATTTATTCTTTCTGGATGAGGGAAATGCAGTGATCAAATACTGTGCAGCATGAGTAATTCACATTTTTTCCATAAATTCAAATTTGAATGAATCATACTTTTACATTTGTGTACCAAAACCATCAGAATTTGCTCTTACATTGAGTAAATGCAGATTGATGAAGATTCTGACTGTAACTTGTGAGTCAAATCAGAGCGCACCTGCGTTACTGATGACCAACGCACACATCCTCATCATGGTAAATATTAAAGCACTCACACGCTTCCTTCCCAAATCTCTCACCCACTCTGCCAACTGAGACCTATTCATTAAAGCTGAAGGTCAGCACCTCTGTTACAGTCATTTCCTTCTTAGAGAGACTCAGAGATGGGATTATCTTAGCAGTTGTGTGACCTTAAAGGTCCT